GGGACCCTTATGAAACGACATTCGTTAGCTCAGCGACTGCATACACAGTCGACAAATACGCCAGGATATCCTTTCCTGTCACGTTCGCATTGTTAAACTCGATCTACTGGATCGTTTATGCACCGGATAAAGTGATCTTCTAACTTGCACACGTGAAGGAAAGATCTTTCATGAGATCTCAAAAAGCCGCACGCTCAAGTGGGCCAGTACGGATTTTCAGTGACGAGCGCTTTAGAACTTTACATCTCCTGAATGCCTTCGGGGCTCCGTCTGCTTGACCCGTGGTCACGTGTTTTCCTCTAGATATTTAAGAATGGCATGTCATGGAGGCATAAAATCGTTGTTTTCCTATATAACAATGGGACAAGCCTAAAATAACGAGTCAAGCCGTATTTATGGGTATCCCATAACAAATTATTGACACTCACTCAGTTTGAGGAAGTGTTATGACATTTTGCCTGTGCCGTAAAATAAATAAATACATAAAATAAAACGTGGATCAAGGTTGATCTATGGTAGTACATAAGCAGTGACGGTCCTTAATTTGATAAGGATCGAAGCGAAACTACCTACTGTTATAGTGCAGTGGCCTTCTGAATAATGGTGATGTTCTGATTAGTTTGACTAATGCATGCCATGTTATCTTGTGTTAGGGCAAACAAACTCTTATTTAAGCACGGTGACTGTCCAAAGAAACTTATGAAAAGTAGTCGTAGTTGATGCGGTTTTCTTTTTTCGTTTCCTCCTCATGATTATTTTCTTTTTAGTTTTCATGTTTTCATCCAATTGCTTCAGACATTGCGTTACACATATGTTACAACCAAAGAAAATCGCGTTCAATAGCGAGGTCATTATTATCAGAATTTAGGCTATGAAACTGTTCACAAGGCTCTGGACGAATTTCTGAACCGTTGAAATTTGCGAGCTTAGCTTTTCCATTCACACGCGGAACATGGGCGGATCGTGATGCCACTAAAAAAAATAAAAAATTAAAATTCGATCTGGTTCGTGAGTTCCGTGTGAACAAAGCGCAAATATTCAACGGTTCCGTATGAACGAAGTGTCCTGTCAATGTCCAAACTTTTGTCCGATGCCGTGTAAAGCAAATGGTGACGAAAACACAACTGCCAGAAATAGTTTTATTTCCAAATTTTCAAAAATAATTAGTGAACATTGTGCTTAAATTACATTTATTTTTCTATTTTCATTTGGTGGTAAAATAATTAGGGTTAAGCAGTTTCCTTTTCATAGATTAGTAGTTTCTTGATGTTCAATCGTGCAGGTCACTTTCAAAGACGTTCTGCTTAATATCCGCGTCACATCCAAGACTTTTCGCCATTTGACAAATGCTTAATGATGCCCTCCTCAGCTGTACCAAAAGTAAAGTAGTTAAACATGTTTAAAACCGTGCTAATATTTAGGATAAATGGAAGATAACTGAACACTTCAACCCCCCCCCCCCCCCCCCCCAAAAAAACCCATCCCTCCTCGCCTAGGTCGCCCAGATTAACGAAAACAATGATTTCATGGTCGTTAGTAAATCCCGAAAAAAGGTTTCCGAACGTAATGATCCCCAAAATATGGGGGAAATAATGAGAGATCTAATAAGCTATACCTAAGTATATACTAAACGGATCTCAGTGATGATTTATTCAAAGGACAATACGTATTACCTTTCCTAACGACTCCCTCTCGTCTATTTGAGTACTTGATACGTACGCTATAATCATAACTATTCTTTTGCCAAAGTGTGTTTTTCTTTATTTCAAGCAACCCATGTACGTTACAGTAATAAGCTAGTAGAAAGTAGCGACCAAAGTCCAGTATCGTTTCTTTTCGGAACTCAGCTCATTATGCCGACTATCACAAAAAGTTATTTTATTTTATCATTTTAACTTTCATGAAACATTATTCTTTTGTAGTCTTTTTCAGTTTTTTTCTACATGATAATGGAAAAATGAAACAACTGCTCTGTTAATCAAAGATACTAAGAGTTGCATCTGGCACATCTAGTCAAGAACAATGACGTATTTATTTTCTGCAAACGAACGGTTAGAAAAGAAATTACTGGCGGTTTTGGACAAATACTTTTTCTTCACCTGACTTTAAAAATTAAAATAAACCGGTCAAGAAAAAAAGGGAAAGAAGAACTTACTTTCAATTTTCCTCCTGGTAATGTAGAAACGAGGCCCTCGACTTCCCCAACCAAAAACGTGATCCCAAGAAGAGCGAAAAGGACAATAATAAGGTGCTTTTTCATTGTTAACAAAGAATTGAGTAACAAAACTGAAGAACGTTGCCTCTCTTTAAAGAACTGTTTAGGCGGGTAAAATTGAAAGTTGATCCAGTGCATTAACGACCTTAATGGGACTCTTTTGGGGTAAAAATAGAATCCAATTCAAGGTCCATTTTCTTGATGAAATAACCTTCTGGTAACGAATCAGGAAGAAACGAAAACCAAAGGGTAATTCGCTGACGCAGGTTACTCACCAGCAGGTGGTCATTAAGGTATTTTTTCACATTTATTGGAAACAATGGCCAGTTTAAATCAATGAAAAGGTGCATAAGACACAAGAACTCCATCATGACGTCAGGGTCTATTTTCCGACGCTTCGCTTGGTAAAAAAAATTCTGGGAGACGCGACTTCGTAAGAGATACTGTTATTAGGCCTCCAGCAACTCAGGTTACGCGAGGACATTTAGCGCACGATTTAACCAAGTTCGTGTCTCATTTCTTCTAATTAAACTATGACATTAGTCGAGTTTGACCGATAAAAGAGAGGAGAAGTATTCTTCGACCAAAATGCCCAAAGCTGGCAAAAAATAACCACATGCTCACAACTTATGAACACTCCATTACGGCTTTGCGTGGGCTAATGCTTCCATTAATACTGCACTACGCGATGCATATCATCTCAGATGATTATAGCCAAATGCGTATGTCTCATATGTAATAGGCCGCGACAAAATTCTTAACTTGTTAAGAAGAGAAAGTTAAAAGAGAGAAACGATCATAAATAATATTTCTCGCAACTCGCGAGAAGACAAAAAAGGAGATTTTACTAAGTTAATTACCAAGGTTAGATTTTTTAAAAAGTAATGACACGACTATTAACTTCGAACAATAAAATGTTAAGGAAAAGCTCTTCTAAACTCGAAATATGAATATACTTAAGTGAGTTGTGCTGTTCAACTTTAACTGAAATAAAATAGAGGAGCCCAAATTCACGCTGGCTTTTTAGCTGAGTACTGTAACTCTTCTCAACGCCCTCCTGAAAGGACGGAACAGCTTTTCTCTTGACACCAACATAGAAGAGCACAAGAATAGTTTAAAAACCTTTTAAGAACCATATTTTTGTGTAATAGAGTATTTTGAATTGGGTTGAGAGCGCATGCTCCTGTCTCACAAATCGTCGTTTTTAAGGGGTGTTGCAGGGGGGTTATTTTTTAGAAAATCCCCCCCCCCCAAAAAAAAAAAATTAAATAAATAAATACAGTCTTACTTTTAAAGCGATGCTTGATAGAATTTAGGCCATGATCTGATTAAGTTCAATGTTTCGTTTTCTTCTGCTTATACACGTTAAAATTAGCAACATTTTTTTTTCTGTAGTTTCATTTTGGAATAGGCCATTTGCATGATTACTACCACGAACAGAATCTTTTCTGTTTTTCCTCTTAGATTTTATTTTGTTAATCCCAGTGAAGTTTAAATAACAAAAGCCCTAATTTGCACAAGAAAGCTTTAAACCCCGAAGAATTCTGGTCTTAGTAGTAAAATGACGTCATCGTGCAAATGGCCTGGAGCTCTTCGTGTGTACACGTTGTGTTGCGAGGGTATGTGCTATTATTTTTTCAAAAAATGCTACTGTCTTTATGACCTCGGATTCATTGGTGTACTTGTCTAAGCAGAAGAAAACGGAACATTGAATCATTTGAAGTGATGATGATGATGGCATGAGTTATGCAGACTGGAAACGTCTCTTTAAAAAATTGGATCGAGAGTCTACGTGATGTAACTACTGTCACGAAGTTAAGGAAAAATCAAAATTAACAACTCGAAATTCAAAGGCACATAATTCCTAAATCACTTTCAGTCCTTACAAATAAAGGTTTTGAATTGTGCCTGCCCGCATTATTTGATACATTGTTGCGTGCTCGATTGAATAAGGCAGACAGGTATATAATATTTGTAATTTTTAATGCTATTCACCCTCCTCTGGTTGCAAATATGATTTAGAATCACTAGTTTTGTTGAATAAGTTTATAAGATGATCACATGTAAATCACTGTATGTCCAGCATAGCAGTGGATGTTTGTGACAATTATTGTCCTGCAGAAGACTATCCACATTCTATGTTTCATCCGCCGCATTGTTGGCGACTAAGAAAGAATCTGTATTTTGCATCATCACGATTTTTCCAATGCAAGTTTGACCTGAGGTTAAGGGGAAAACGCTTTACAAAATATAAAGTAAAATAGCTTTTTTAGAGTGTTTTAGGTGACTCCGCGCAAATTCTTCGTCTCCTTCAAAATGTCTTTCTTGATCAAAGTCTTCGCAGTAACTGACCCTATCAATTTGCTCCTACGTATTTCCAAGTGTATTCAGCAATTTTTTGGTGGCTCAAATTTGCTTTCGTATAATGAGGTGGGCGTGAAGTCCTAAAATTTACTGGAATCGTTTACGTCAAGGTCTTTTCTTTACGTCATTTGCTGATCGGCTTCAAACACAAGGAAAATCCATAGACTAGCAGCTAGTTGCTAAGGAATGTCATCTTTGCGTTGGTGAGGAATGGAAAACACAAAAATTGGTTTCATCATTTGAGTTGATAAAATAAAATGACTAGCTTCAGAAGATTCAAAAGCTGAGGTTTCGAGCGTTTGCCCGTCCTCAGCGAGACCATTTTTCTGACAATATCCCATGCATTTACTTTGATTTCTGCTGTGGTCCCTCCAAAAGAGGGAAAAGGCACGGTTTCGCTCACTTTTCGCTTTTTGTCTGTTTAAAAGTTCCCATAAACTAGCCAATAGATGCAATTGAATGCAAAAAAAGTCAGAGGAAATCCAAAGCGAGAGCATTTGTCAATAATCAGTGGATCAGTGATATGATACCAGCTTTTTTCCTCCTCCATTTTCTCTGTAAATACTTTCATTTCGACATCAAGTGAATCGTTTTCTGTTGCAGGGCTGAATACTCTCTTCAGGGTTGTACCTCGTCGTGGAGAACACTTTGAACCAAAAAACGAAAAAAACTCTCTCTTTTCCTCCTATTTATGAACAATGAAAAGTAATAAAACAAATAAATAACAATAATAATAAAAGATAAATTAACCCAAAGTCTTAAAAATGGTAAGTGGATAATAATAATTGATAATAATAATTTATTTAATGGCGCCATTTCCATTTTTAATATGCCAAATCGGCGCTTTATACTAAATGTTTTAATTATTATAATATTACAATAAATGCTTAAAATATCGAAATTGATATTACTTGTAAAACGATTCAACTGTTAAAGGACTAATTTCTAAAAAAAAAAAAAATTAGTTGCCTAAAATGTAAGACTAAAATGTAAATGGACTAATTTAATAAAAGCGCTTTCCTTAAGTTTAATTTTTTTAGGGGTTAAAAATTCTATGAAAGCTTGAATGGCAATGAGCCAAACTCGTCTTCACGCGGCCTTCAATTATTAATGACGAAGACTGAGATGTGAGAGTGGTATTCTCTCACAGTACCACTAATCACTGAGCGCGCACGCTAAGAGGAAAATCTTCTTTGCCTGTTGTATACCTCCGTTGCAGACGTTTTGCAGGGTGTGCGAGTGTTTTCGTTCGCATAATAGCCATGTTGAAATCGCCATAATGAATTGCAAAAGGGCGAACACATTGGGGCGAGTCGAAGTGAAAGAGGGAGAGGGCGAAGAGAGGGAAAAGAATTTTTTCCCTTACCCCCCACTCCCTGTCTCCTTCTATCGCCGTAACGCCAAACCGAAGAGCCGATATTTCTACTTTTCCCAGTTCTTCCTCAGTGGTGATAAAATTAGAGAAGGCGACCACGGTATTACGAACATAAACAAGGAGCTTTCGCTCGCCTAAAAATAAGCCTGTAATCTAGGCTACCTGTTGTACTGAACCAAACATTTTCAGCACTAGGGTAGGGTGGGTGAGTCGTCGAACATTATACCTGGGCGTTTAACAAAGTTGAGAGAGTTCGTCTATTTCTCAATAGTTGTCATCCCTAACGACCACAGGTCTAGTGGACTCGTGTTAGTTTTTGCCTCAAAGTTCATTTTGAGTGTTGTAAATGAGATTATGATAAATGATGGCGATCGCATTGATCACAACTATAAATTTCTATACTCTCACCTTGGAGCTAGCGGTTGATTCTCTGTTCGGTACAGCCGCAATCTTGGTCTTATTTTTGATGTTTATGATGAAAGCTACAAAAGTGTACTCCATAATGGAACCAAATACAAATATCAGACAGAACAGTAGGTACCAGTCTATCGCTTTTACGTAGCTCACTTTTGGAAGCGAGGCGCGAGCACTGGAAATGAGTGTCGTCATCGTGAGAACTGTTGTAATTCCCAGAGCCACTCGCGCAGGCGCAGTATCGGGGTTTATCCAGAATGAAATCCAGCTGATGATGACGATGATGGTAGACGGAACGTAGGTATCAATCAAAAAGTAACCAATCCTGCGCTTCATCTTAAAAATGGCGATCAAAGAGGAGTGATTACCTAGAGTGGCAAACAAAGTTTTACAATAACTGAGCGATTTCTCGCGCACTGATTGGTGGAGAACTATGTTCGAAAACAGAACAGACCACAGATATGACGTCCTGGTGGTGCATTTTGTTTTGTGTACTCTTATCGACCATAGAAATGACGTCAAACGGGGCCGGTTATTTAAACGAAAATTTTTAATATACGGAGTTTTACGTACAGTGGTGCAATGCTCGGGAATAATCTTTCTTGCGAGGCAAAAACAGCACAATCGCTTTTCGAATTCAAAACCAAACTTGCCTCTTTGCCTTCTGCTGGATCGCTGTTATTAAACTCATACTAGTTACTCTTCCAAGCTCCCACCATCACATATTGTAAAACTAGCGACATTGTGTACATTTTTTTCTGGAATGCTATTGTGTTGCAAGGGGAAAGCCAATCAGGCAAGAGAAACACTAAACCGCAAACAGCGACGGAAACTAGACCCTTCCACGGGTTTTTTTAAGTTATAAAAAAGTTAGCGAATAACCATCGACACTGAGAGAAAAAGCACCTTAAAATTAGAAAATTAGTATTGCTCCACAAAGTCACGCAAAGCCAATCAGGCAAGAGAAACACTAAACCGCAAACAGCGACGGAAACTAGACCCTTCCACGGGTTTTTTTAAGTTATAAAAAAGTTAGCGAATAACCATCGACACTGAGAGAAAAAGCACCTTAAAATTACAAAATTAGTATTGCTCCACAAAGTCCCGCAAATTTTATTGGCGTTTGTATGGGGGGGGGCCCGAACTGCCCTAACCTTCCCCCCCCTCACCCCCCCCCTTCCCCCCCTCGCCCCCCTAAACACCACCATACAAACGTCTGTAAAGATTTCCCATTTTGAAGAGCTATGTCCTCAATAGTTTTTTTAACAAATCACTCTAAGGTGTTCTTTCCAGCTAACTTGTCCCTGCCAAAACAGATCGTGATTTCTTAGTTTATTTTCTTCTGGCTTGCTTTTTGTTGCGCATTGTTGTGTTATAAAAGCAATAATTTCATGCAAAAAAATGATTTAAGTGTGTTTACCTATATTGTATTCGTTGATATCCGAGGTTTTCTCAACACCAGCTAACTCGAACTGAGGAAGTTCCACTTCCTTGTTAACGTATATTGCAGATGTATTATCGTCTCGTGGATTCCATTTGTACAACAAGTCTGTTGTCTGGTAACCATCTAATAAAAACAGAACTGTTACTGCACAAACATTTTATGAATAAGTGAACAAACTTCAGCCGGACATATTTAAACAGTCAAATCCTTATTTTCTTATTACAAGTAAGAAAATCATGCAACATTTTACTTGTACGTCTACTCCGCTTTTGTCCTTGTGTAGTAGTTATCATAGCGTTTTTCTGCCTTATTTTTTAATTATTCAATCGTTTAAGAACCAGCGGGTCATTATTGTCTTCACTGAAGGGGAGCATTTGGTCCTTTTTAATGATTCCCGGTTCAGCTTAAATGGTCTACTTTTCAATGCATTAAATATAACACAGAGGAACCTCGATATAACGAACCTCTAGATAATGAAGTCCTCGTTGTAACGAACGATGTAAAATATATGGAAAAGAACCTCGATATAACGAAGCTTCGTTATAGCGAACAAATTTTGCCACTCCCTTGGCCCTTTGTGAAATCGAGTTGTCGCTGTAACCCGTTCATGACAATGGAAGGGGGAATTAAGATAGGATAGACTTAACGACATTAAGTCAAATACAGTCATAAATGTCGACTTACAACTCTCCAATTCCAACGTACACTTCTGGATATCATGAGGGAATCGACGCAAATTCAGTTTACATGACATTGTTATAGTCAATCTGAAAGGAAGGATAAGCCTTGTGAATGCTAGAACTATTGGCGTGACCTTACGTTTGTTTAATAGACCTTAATATAATATTGTAATAATGATCGCCTTTTTCTAGTTTAGTATTAGAAAAATGGTCTTTCACTGTATATTTCTCGGGAAAAAGGCGATCATTATTACATCCAAACACGGCTCAAGGATCTTTTTTCCCATTACAATCTTATTCTAAGAAAGCTTTAAGAAAAAATGTCCCGAAAAGCGCTCAAAAATATAAACGAAATGTGCTCATGCCCCCTGGGCATCCTATAATACTCCTTAAATCGAATTTATTCAATATGGCCGCCGTATCGGTAAAAAGGTCTATTTTAACCTGGGAAAAGTGTTTGCTAAAAGAATGTTAACTGCAAGGGGATGTCTAATAGTAATGAATCAGTAACGTCATCATCAAAGTTGCATTTATGTCTACAACAGTTTACTTTGCTTCTTCTGGGCTTACATGCTTGCATTGTTCTTTTTTGTTGTTGTTTCAATGACAAATCTATCTCCCCTTAGCCTCCTTTTTTAAAAAGTTAATTTGCGCTCAAAGTAATAAGTATCGATAGTCATACCCACGGTGTACTAGTGTATTTTTATCAATTTTATTTGATNCTGTATATTTCTCGGGAAAAAGGCGATCATTATTACATCCAAACACGGCTCAAGGATCTTTTTTCCCATTACAATCTTATTCTAAGAAAGCTTTAAGAAAAAATGTCCCGAAAAGCGCTCAAAAATATAAACGAAATGTGCTCATGCCCCCTGGGCATCCTATAATACTCCTTAAATCGAATTTATTCAATATGGCCGCCGTATCGGTAAAAAGGTCTATTTTAACCTGGGAAAAGTGTTTGCTAAAAGAATGTTAACTGCAAGGGGATGTCTAATAGTAATGAATCAGTAACGTCATCATCAAAGTTGCATTTATGTCTACAACAGTTTACTTTGCTTCTTCTGGGCTTACATGCTTGCATTGTTCTTTTTTGTTGTTGTTTCAATGACAAATCTATCTCCCCTTAGCCTCCTTTTTTAAAAAGTTAATTTGCGCTCAAAGTAATAAGTATCGATAGTCATACCCACGGTGTACTAGTGTATTTTTATCAATTTTATTTGATTATTATTATCATTATTATTAGTAGTAGTAGTATTATTATTATTATTATTATTATTATTATTATTATTATTATTATTATTATTATTATTATAATTTTATCATATTTTTAATATTAATGTGTGCATATACAAGCCGGTTTACATTGATAAATGGAGAGTAGCCCTGGAATGGGAATTCAGTTTTCCCCTGCTACTATCGGGCCACCTTTTACATATGACTGACTGTAATAAAGAATCATTAAACTTAAACTACCTAATGAGCTTACGAAGCAAACGTGAACCGTTAATTTTGTAAAACGTTTCGCTTCGAATTGGTATGATATTGTGTGAATGGCCTTTTGCCGGAGGGAGCAGCCCTTTTCAAAAACTGATATTTCTTACCTTATACTGTAGAAGATACTTCCATTCGGCCAGATCTGTAAGAGATAGTTTTCTGTGGTCACATCGTGCATGTAAGCCCTCTTGGTCCTTAAGAAGTACGTACTCGGGATCCAGATCTGTTTATTGATATTACTACTCAGGGTCAAAATAGGGTCCGAGGTCAGATGACCAAACGCCAACCGTTCGTCTGTCCAATACTGGCGTAGGTATATGTCGATCGTAAAATCCTGCAAGCCGTCACAACAACCGTTTTAAAACATAGAGCAGAAACACATAATACACTATTTAGCCTTCTTGATCACTTAGTTAGTTTGCGGGATATTTCATAAATGCATTGAAAGGCTAATGGTTCAGTCTACCATTCTGACATTGCCCAAAAAACACCTTGTTTACCTCGCCCATAAAAATTGTTTTCAGTTTCTCCTGGGTATAAAAACTGTCCGAAGAGAAATTGAAGACAATGCTTAAGCAGAATTTTTTGCGATCAACAACGTGTACTATATGAGCACTGGAAACAGTGAAGGACTAGAGTGTGTTTGAGGTATTTTACTTCCAGTGATAGAAAAGACAACACGAGCAACAGCAACACTGAAAACAAGCAACAAAAACAACAATAACAACAACAACTGAACTAAGGGAAGAACGCATGACCGCGGATTACTTTTGATGAAGCAATATATTCAGTATATAAGATTTTATGAATACAGAGTAATAGTTCTGAAAATGTAATTATAGTTCTTTCTACTGAATTGGCCAAAATGGCTCTGAGGCGGAACCTTCCCGCGACCAGAGGGTGGGTGAAAATCATAGACTATTAAATTATTGTTACCATCTTAACTTCTTCCATTGCCCAAATGTTAGCAACATACATATCAACACGGACCTCTTGAGGAGAACCTAAATTAACGAGAAAAAAAGAAATAAATGGATAAAAATTGACAATGTTCATCAAATTAAATGGAGTGCTTTAGAGGGTCAATAAACGTTCCTCCCTCCTTTGGTTTTCAAAAGAAACCCTGGTAGGAAACGTTAGTGAGTGGGAGTGGAGAAACTCCATCCCTTCCCCAAGAGGTACAAACAGGCCTTTCCGTAGGAGACAGACGAGCGTCCGGATAATTCAGGATGGCGATTAAATCTTATAGATGAAGGCTCAAAAGCTCCCGCCAGTTCTTTGCTTGACAAGAGCTTGAGCGATCCACCATGGTGTCAAATCTTCCATCCTTGCTTTGATAAACTGAGGGGCGAAAAATAAATCTAAAAATAGAGGCTGAAGAGTTAACCGGCCGTACGAAGTGGTGATACGCTTGTGAAGGGGTTTAGATATTTTAACACCTTGCTGATGTCACAGTTTTCTAGTGAATTGGGATGGTAGTCTTCAGTGTTAGGTGGAATATTCCTATTTTTTCGGCATAAGCTTGGTCGTTAGTGATGCCTTCTCTCAAACAGAAATTAAAGTTACCTTTCACTCCAGGTCTAATTCTCCTGTCGTAATCTTTCAAAAGAGTTTCCACAATCCAAGTGGAATTCTCATAAGCGCTGGATTTGAATTGTCCTGACCTTTTGCTAAAAATATAACAACAATACTTAAACATTTCGCACCCACTGAAAGGCGCTTTAAAAAATGATAATAATAATAATAATAATAATAATAATAATAATAATAATAATAATAATAATAATGATGATAGCTATGATAATGATAATGTTGGTAATAATGATGATAAGAATGGATTGATAACTTTGAACGAACAAAAACCGTACCAAAACCAGGAGGTTGTTTTTTTTCATTATTAGACGGTCTTCAACATAATCATTCATTCTTTAACAGCCTGCGTAGAGGGCGTTTTTAGGCGAAAGCTAGAACTAGAATCCAGAACGTCTTTAGCTTCATTTTTGGCTTTTATTTCAACACTCACTTGAAAACGTTCGCATCTAACTCACACGGAAATGCTAGTACAACGTCAGTTTCCTTCTTTTTTTTTTTTAATTCTGTCGGCATCAATAAATTTCCTGATTTGTTGTTCATTTAAAACGAAGGTTTTTTTTGTCATTTGATCTTTGGTTCTAGAAAAAAAAACATTTTGGGCCTCGAGGACGTTCACATCTACGGAGCACTTTAAGGTTTGCACCGTTGACAAAACATTTGTTCGTGTTTAGTTTGAGGGAATAATTTTTGTCAATAACTAGATTTATGGCAAGTTACGTACACGTTAATACCTTACCTACTTTGTATTTGTACTTGTTTCAGAACCCGAGTTCAAACTACTGCGTGAACAATTTTGCGAAATTGGCATTGATGACGCACTTATTAAACGGGATTTTATATTTGTTTTGTTAATCATTAATATGGAACTCTATCACACTATGCAAGGTTACTCAGTGTGGTATACAGCTATTTCGAGAAAGGTTGTCGGAAGAAATGTGCACGCGACAATCCCGATAGGTAATATGGGATATGATCAACACACTGTTCCTGACACTGTAGCTGTCGAACCTACTTTTGTTGCTTTCTTTTAGCATCCGCAAACATACTTCCGTCGCCTCTCGTGTCATTCTTTCAAACTTCTTTGAAAAACAGTGAATTCAAAACCACCCACAATACCTTTCGGGATTGTCGCGTGCACTTTTTCCGACAACCTTTCTCGAAATAGCTGTATGTGATATAAAGCGATACTTTTTAAAGATTTACAGTGAACAATAGAGATATACTGTATATTACCGTTTCATCTGCATGTTTTTTTTACGTTTGCATGGTTAAAACCTTGTTGCCATTACGCTTACAAAACTAATTTCGTGCAAATCGTAGGCTTCATTTCAATTAAATAAGATTATATTAATCCACCGATTCAGGTGTAATCGATACCTGTCATTATCTCGTCTACAAAGGCGTATATTAAAATAAAGATAATAATCATTTCGCAATGCACGAACTTCAATCGATGGAGTCGTTGAAAATTTGGGCAATGAAATTGCCCAGGATCCTTCCAGCGAAAATCGTGAAAAGAGTAAAGACACCTATAAAAAGGAGGAATTATTGGTGAGATTTTTTCTCAGGAAATTTGAAATCACTCCTCTTAGTGAAAAAAAATTGAGTATTCAGCTGCAACAAATATGTTATTTTTAAAAAATCGATTACATGATTCCAGTTTGGCAAAACCTTTTCCTCTTTAAAATGATAAAAAGCGTCAATCCTGGATACTTTGTTTTGGTTTAAGGGTAACTAAAAGAGTTAACATACAAAGTTGATTGGCTTCAACTGAACATAAGAAATGAACAATTTACATCATAACTATGTCTAAATATTCACATGTTATATTTGTAGCCTGAGGTCAATCACACAATTTTGTGGTTTAAAAGATTACAACTTTTCGTAAGGTTAAATATTTAGTTTTGAAAAAAATAAATATTTGTGTGTACTTAATAACGTGTTTGATAATCTGGTAAAATACAGAAGCTCCTGAGCTCCTGGCAGTGATTGTGGCAATAACATGTGCATTATTTGGGTATCTTTGTCATCCTAACGCAGTGTCCTTTGCTACGATCTCAGTCAGGGCCTAATCACGATACATTACTAGTCTTACTGGGCTGATCTAGTTCGCCATGAAAAGCGGAATAGCCAACAGGTCCTGGTTTTTCGAAACGAGGATAACGCTCAGAACGCTATCTACTTGATAAATCTCTATGTGGATAATACAATTATGGATTCTCGTTTTATATGGTGGATAGCGCTATCCAACGTTTGATCAACCGGGGCTAGGTTACCAGTGGCCAAAAGAAATGTTAAGACGAAACATGTCAAATAGAAAAACAAAAAAGGATCTTTTTTTGGCCATAAAAGACTGGACTCACCTCGAATTGTTGAAATGAAGCTGATTGCTTGAAGCAAAGAAAATCACCAAAAGAACCAAGACAGCTTGAGGTTGGTCATGTTTGTATATCATTCTCGTAATCTTGATATTGTAAGATTACTGCAATGAAATAAGCCTTCTAATGTTAGACAGAGATAAGGTTCAAGACACAACATGCGATTGGATCATGGATATCTGTAAGCATATCGCGATTGCACAGATCATTGCCAAGAGTTCTTTTGCCATTGTTATGGTTCCAAATTTGCACATCAAATGAAGCGCAATAAAAAATACGGAGTATAATGCGACGTGACCGACACTAGGAAGGGCAGGCTGCTCGTCATATTATCTTTCTACCTATCTATTATTTCATCCATTCATTCATTCTTATGTTTATTTATATCTTTTTAAATTACCAAAACAAAAACAATGCAAAACAACAACATGGGCATAAAAAAAAAAAACCACCAACAACAACTACAAATTAAAGTTCGGAGATGATGTTTCGACCTTAAACTTAAACGGCGAAGTGATTCCCTTTCCTTCATAAATTATTGACACTTGTAATGGCAGCTTCGATTCATTACGGTGTCTGAAGGAAATTAGTAAAAAAAAAAATTCTTCTAGTTAGAAAGTCTGTGGATAGAATCAATTATTGATAAGCTGTAAGCAGTCTAGCAAAGAAAAATCTCTTTTTAAAAGGCAAGGTGATGCTTTGGTCGGTCTAATTTTTTTATTTTACTTTCCCTCCCTTTTCATTTCACATAAAAGTTCATTTTCCTTTTTTTAATAAAGGGAAACCTCTATTTCTGTTAAATTTCTGGGACTTGATGCTGCCCAACATTATCATTTTTCCGCCAGGGTGTGGCTAACTGAATGTTTATGCAAGTTGTGTTCACAAGCGTATTAGTGAGTGCCCCGGCAAAATAACAAAATTAATTAAAATTTCATAGCTTGTAGAGTTTAGCCTGCGTCGTTAAAAAAGCTTGTAACGTCGGCCGTGAACATGTTTTTCATTCTAAGATTAACAATATATTTCACAGGACAGTGTAATAAAAACAAATTGCACAAGTACAAAAGAAAAACTAGAATTATCACCCACTTGACATTTAAGTTGCCAAACTCTTATCGGTGCGTAAAAAATATTTTAAGTTAGAAGTATTTTAGGAAACAAATTCGAATGTCCATCGATCATTACACCAAACGTTTTATCTTGAAAACACAACATTTACCATTAGACTTACCACACAATTGAAGATTTTAAACGCTTTTGGGAATACAACGAGTAGAGATTTCATTTTTAAGTATCATGGCGTTATATTTACATCAAAGGATTCGTTTTAAGTGGTTTCATGATATTCTGCCTCGATCTCTGCGGGAAAAAATACCAGCGGAACAAAACGTCCTAGTGATGCGTTGAGTAAACAACAACTTGCCTTTATGAAAAGACACAGCACACTTAATCTGATGTTCATCAGTGGACATAAATAATATATGCTTGGATTTAATGTTTTTAAATTTATCTTAAACAGGTAGATAGCAAGTTGAAGGGTCTTAGAAAGTTATTGCCTGAAGAGAGAATGAATACAGCACTTGCTGTTTAATGGAAACATTGCATCATCAAAAACATCATGGGCTGTAAAACTGTGGTCGTATAGGTTCAATATAGGTACTCTAGCTTAAGGACGATTCTGGTCAAATTGGAATTGTGCAAAATTCATGAACTGTAAAACTTTTATTGATTATAGGCAGAAGCTGTTTGTTATATTTATAAGGCAATCGCTGCAATTGTGTTGAAAATTTGTTTTTAAATAACGAAACTTCTACTGGACTTTCAAGTCAGTGTATAAACAGCCAAAAATTAATTGTACCTCTGTTTCTAACTTAACATGCTGCTTCTCCCGTCAAATTTTGTCGCTCAGATGGCTTTTGTCTAGTGTCTACGGCTTCTTTATTGTGCGAAATTAAATCTTGAGTAAATTGCTTGATTCCAGTCTCCTCTCACAAGCACATGTTTTTTCATGCTCAAGATCTTTCAAGAAAAAATTGGTTTATGCTAGAGAGAATGTGATCTGTGAATCTGGCAATATATAAAAAGTTTATGGGAAGCCGTATCATTTCAACATTTACAAAAGAGCACTTTTGAAGTAACCTTGAAAGTCCTCCAAACACTTTTTTAGTCACTGAAGGATTAAATTTAAGTGCTTGATATAATCTGTTTTTCAAAGTCTTTAATGTTCAAGTAATAGCAATATATAGACCTTTCACAAGTATATACTTTTTTAGCTTACTTTCAAAACACAATAAATAAAACATGCTGAATTGACTTTTTTTTCTCATTGTAAGAAAGTATTACTTTCAGGAAGATCAGTATAAACTCTCTAAGAACATATTTACTATTAAAACCACAGTTCAAGCAGTGAACTAATAAGCGAATTTCCGTTCTAGAATACGAAAGTCGAACGGATCTGTGTTGTGTATTATGGCAAATTTAGCTCTGGTGAGACATATTACGGTTTGAAAATTAATTTAACGAACGAGCGTTACAAAAACCATAAATAAAAATCTCATGCGAGGTACAGTAATTAAAAGACAGAAATACGGGGTTTTCTGCTTATAAACAAACAGCTTATTGTCGGAAAAAAAGCTCCCCGGAATTCCTGACAAAATTGAACCAAAATAATTTACACAATTTAAATAGACTTGTGATTAATCTGAAAATGCTTTTTCTACATTTATGCCTT